CCTCTAATTGTAATTGTTAAAATAAGTCCCATTTTTTACTTGTCAGGAAAACGTCTTCTGTTAGCTTCATTGAGAATCTGCTTTGCTGGGGTAGCTCAACATTCATAGTCATTTATCAGCTTCAGCTAGTCAGAACCGGTTGTGTGAACTACAGCATTGGTTTTGACATCTAGGAAAGCACTGCTGTAGGTAGGTAATTTTCCTTGCACATGTATTGGGAAGAACGAATCTGACTCCATATTGGATCTGTTTCTTTTGCTGTAACCTTTGTATTCTAGTGTTTTTGCTACAAGTTAATCACTAAAGGGGTGTTACCTATAGCTTAAAGTATACATAATGGCCCATCTCTGGGAACCCTGCCTCCCATGCCTAAACATTAAGCTAAAATACTTTTGTTTAGCTCACAAAAAAACATCCTGACCAGGCCCACGAGTGAATGGCTGCAGGAAAGAAGAAATTAACAGAGGTTAGGAGTCTGGCTGGAACCAGGAGATATTTGCAACAATTTTTCCCCTTTGTACTTTACCTCCTCACCTCCCCCCTCTTTGTTCTATGAAAAAAGTTAGCATCCAAACCAAGACAAGATGGTTCTTTGGGACACTAATCTACCATCTTCTCAATCTGCGAGCTCTCCAAATAAAATCACTATTCCTTGCCCCAACAACTCATCTCTTGATTTATTGGCCTGTCATGTGGCAAGCAGTATGAGCTTGGACTTGGTAACATACACAGGGAATTTTGTCTTTATGTTCCTTTTAATTCCCCCTTAAGATTAGCTCCAGACCAAATAAAAATGTCTGCTCTATTTGTTATCCAAGACACAATTCTTGAAAGCCTGCTTCCCACTAAAGAACCTTTCATTTAACTAGGGCATACTTTCCTATAGTCCCTTCCTTCCGGTACTGTTACATCCCCAGGGGTTGGTCCCATTCCCAGTAATTCCACCCTGCTTCTGCTGTCTGCCTGGGGATGTGGAGACAAATATATGATTAAAACCACCAATAAGGGCTTCCCTGGTGGCACAGTGGTTAAGAATCTGCCTGCCAATGCAGGGGACACGGGTTCGAGCCCTGGTCTGGGAAGATCCCACATGCCGCGGAGCAACTAAGCCCATGAGCCACAACTACTGAGCCTGTGCATCTGGAGCCTGTGCTCTGCAACGGGAGAGGCCGTGACGGTGAGAGGCCTGTGCACCACGATGAAGAGTGGCCCCCGCTTGCCGCAACTGGAGAAAGCCCTCGAACAGAAACAAAGACCCAACACAGCCAAAAATAAATAAATAAATACATTTATTTAAAAAAAAAAACCCACCAATAAAACAAATTTAGAAAGACTATTTCTCGGTTTCAAGAACATGTACAAATGTTTTGGTATAACATAGAGTTAAGAGTAAAAGAAAATTTTTATCAATAGGATAATGTTAACTATATGAAAAAATATTACTTGGTAAAAAAATGGAAGGAATAAAGCCCTGAGATTAACAATGTGAAAACTAGTTTCTTTGTGGTGGTAGGATGACATATGATTTTCTCCTACTTTTTTTTTTTTACTATTTTTTCCTGAAATTTGTATTTCCTTTCTTTTAAGGTATTTTCAGTACTCTGATAATCAGGAAGGAAAAAAAAAAAACTGATCCCAAAAGGCTAATGTCAGTGCAGTAAACACAGGTTAAAATATTATAATTCAGAATTTGCAGTCTCATTTAATGATATTTATACTATGTAATAGTAAAATAATAACAGAAGAAATTGACATTAATAATTCTTTTAAAAAAATACATTTATGCAGGCTTCTAAAGAAAAATTTCTTGTTGTTTTTCAGTGTTTTTAACAAATAAATAAAAAGAGGACTTTGCAATGCAGATTTTTACAGGTATTACAGGTTTTCTAGAGTCTTATTTGTTTGGGTCATGATTTCATATCATGGTTGTTCTTCCTTATAGTTGTCTATACCTGCCTTACTTTGGATATTTCACTCTGTAAAATAAACATTTTAGTCTTTCCAACTTACTACAGCCTCTCATGGACTCTCTGTATCTGATATTCTACTGTTACTGAGTCCAAGCTCTACTGGTCACCCCACGACAGGCCAATAAATCAAGAGATGAAGCATTGGGGCAAGGAATAGTGACTTTAGCTGGAAAACCAACAGACTGAGAAGATGGTGGACTCGTGTCCCAAAGAACCACTTTATCAGAGTTAGAATTCAGGCTTCTTTTATACTAAAAGGGGAGGCAGTGAAGCTGGTTGTTGCAAACTTCTTTGTGCAGGAATCCTTTGTTCTTGCAGCCATCCATGCTATAAACCTCCAGCAAAACAATTATTTTCTATTCTGAAACTTTTTATTTCTATATGAATGGAAAATTATTATACCTTTAAAGGCCAGAGCCCTGAAAATGAGATATCATATATATTTCAGGCTCTAGGCAACATTCTTCTACAAAAGTGCAGAGCCAGCATGACTAAGCTTAGCCAACAGAGCACAGGGATTAGAGCTAAAGAAACAGATCCAATATGGAGTCAGGTTTGTTCTTCTCTGTTACACTACCACATATTTAGTTCCACTTTGACCATTGGAAACACTCTCCTTTCCATACCATCCCCATCTCTCTGGGAATACTGAGACCTAGAAATTATAATATCCCAAGCTCTTAAAAGTGCAGTTGTCTTAAAGGTGTGAGCTATTTGAAGAGTCAAGCATAGCCTTAGGGTACAAGAGGACTTTACTCCTACTGTACAATCAATGAGTGATGGGCTACTGTTGATTAGCAACTCTCATTAGATGGAAACAAAAGATTCAGGTCACCACAGCCCTGAATAGTTAGTTTGGACTCTAGGTTCTGTTTTACATCCACTTAGTTCCTTGTCTCTGGACCCTCCTGGTATCTTCTTGAGGGTTGAAGCTTTCTTCTCTCTACTTGGTCTCCCTCCTCTCCCTTTCCCCTAGCAAACAGTTTTTATCTAGATAAGGAACAGGAATATTCTGTCTGTACATATGCATCTGAATATTTCATGTTTACACCTAGACCAGTGGCTTTTAAACTTAAGAGGTAGGATTTGTCATCTTTGCTTACTTGGTTATTCAGTGATCCCTTTTCCCCAACATCAGCAAGTAAAGGCTAAATAGAAAGAATAAATGCAGGTAAATTCCTCATTGTTTTGAGTTATTAGAAACTGCCTGATGCACTTGTCTGGCATCCACTTGCCTTGTAGCTTCACTACTAACTCTTATCCAACCATACTGGACCATTTGCAGTTCCAGGAATATGCTATGCTGTGTCCTTCATGCTATTCCTTCTTACTTGCTCTTCTCTTTACCAGAATGATCTTCCCCTTCCTCATTTTGCTAACTCCTTCAGAACTCAATACCAACATCTCCTTCAGGAAGCCTTCTCTGAATCTCCATGCTTTTCTCTGCACTTCCAGAACAAGAAGCAAGTTCAGATGGCCCTTGAGGTTAATAGTCTTCTCCTTTGTAGTTTGGCAAGTTGCTGGCTCAGCAAGTATGAGTAACTCCCCTGAAGAACAGATGGATGTAGTGCCCTATCTTTGTATGCTGCTCCTTTATAACAAGGCCATTCCCTTATAGAATAGCCCACTGTTACCTAGTCACCTAGAGAGCCCCTCCCCTTATAAATATGAAGAGTGTTTCAGGGGCAGATTCCCATGGTCTGTCCTATCACACTGGGGCTGGCCTAGGCACACCACCCCACGACACAACTAGAACCTAGAGGATCATGTGGCTCTGACACTTCTCTGCTAGTAAATTTGTCAGCAACAAGTTCTGTTTTATGTTTCAACCATGCGATGGCTGTGACATGGTCTGCATGCTCATTGTGCCTAGGTCTATTAGGTGAGCACTTCATATGTTGTAATAATTTATGCATTTGAATTTCCCACTAGACTGTAAATTTCTTGGGGGAAGATAGTGCTTTGTTTGTTTTTGTGTGCCTAGGATTCAGCACAGTTCTTGCACATAATTGACGCTCAAAAAGAGATTAATGAATATCTCCTTTTATTCATTAAGCCCCATATACATGACTATTATTTTATTGAGCTAATGATTCCCCAGTGCTTCTGTTGAATACAATTCTTGAATGAAGAGTGATAATCCTTAATTGAGGAGATTAAGGCCCTATATGTAGATAATAAGGGATGACACTAAATCAAAATGAAAACTTCAGAGATGTCTCTGATTGCACACAGTTAATATTTATTCCTCATATTTTTTTATGCAAGAGCCATTTCTTCTTAAAATTAATTACATGGTCCTGGTTCAACCAAAATGACCTCTGTAATGACTCATGGATCATTCATCACTCTTGTTTATGAGCTCTCAGAGTAATTTTAGGGTTTTATTTAAACCTATAAATTGTGTGTGTGTGTGTGTGTGTGTGTGTGTGTGTGTGTGTGTGTGTACTTGTTTTCTTTTGCTTTATTTCAGACTGAGACTGCTAAAAGTCAAATATTTTCATCTGAGATAAACATTAAGATAAGTTGTGTCTACACAACTTGGCATAACTTGACGGTTGTGTCAGAGAGAGTACAATACCAACTAGGAAAACATCTAAATACCCATTATTTAATGGGTCACAGGAATCCACAGGAATTCTGATTCTTATAAGTTTCATTCTAATCTAATGGTACACAGGTGTGGTTTCCTATGTTGTAACATTGTTAGTACTGAAAATAATTTTTCTGTGGTATTCACATATGTTTTTGAATATTGGAAAAAATAATATGCAGCCCTTCTAAAGATCAGGGCTCTCCAAACTGCTATTTCATGCCTTGGAGAAGGACCCAGAGAAGTAAATTAAAATTATATGCAGAGATGTCAAGCACATCTGCTTGGTGGAATCTTGTGAGAGTAAATTAACAAATGTAGTAGGGGACAGTGGCGGGGGAGAATAATGTTAGGAAGAGAGACAGCTAACACTTATAAAGAGCTTAGTTTGTAGCAAGACTTTATGTCTTTATTTATTTATTTGTTTATTTTTTGAGGCTTTGCAATAATTTTTTAATGAAGCATATTAAGTTTTTGTTTATGACTACAAGAATGCATATTCATAATAAGAAACCTTGGAGAATACAAGGGAAGCATGAAGAGGGGCAAAAGAAAATCACCCTTAGTTTACAACAAAAGACAATCAACGTCTATATTTGGTATATTTTCTTTTATTCTCTTTTATATCTTGCATTGAAGTTTTTGGCTTTGATTTTTATTGTTCATATTATTTCATGAATAGTAAAATGCTAATCATATTTTATTGATTGATAGATAATTTGCATCTATTGATACTGAGTCTTTTTCCTGGACAGAGAGTCTGTACTACTGTAATAGTGAACAACTTACAGATCTCTTTGCATATTTTTTCTAAATAATATAATTTAGTTATCTATTTTATATATAGTAGTGTATATATGTCAATCCCAATCTCCCAATTCATCCCACACCTTCCTTCCCACCTTGGTAACCACAAGTCTGGTTTCTACATCTGTGACTCTATTTCTGCTTTGCAAATGAGTTCATCTGTACCATTTTTCTGGATTCTACATAGAAGCTATATTATACTATATTTGCATTTCTCTTTCTGACTTACTGCACCTCTGTATGACAATCTCTAGGTCCATCCATGTCACTGCCAATGGCATTATTTCATTCCTTTTAATTGCTGAATAATATTCCATTGCATATATGTACCACATCTTCTTTATCCATTCCTCTGTCGATGGACATTTAGGTTGCTTCCATGACCTGGCTATCTTAAATAGTGCTGTAATGAACATCGGGGTGCATGCATCCTTTCGAATTATGGTTTACTTCTGATATATGGCCAGGAGTGGGATTTCTGGATCATATGGTAGCTATATTTTTAGTTTTTTAAGGAACCTCCATACTGTTCTCCATAGTGGCTGTACCAGTTTACATTCCCACCAACAGTGTAGGAGGGTTCCCTTTTCTCCATACCCTCTCCAGCATTTATTGTTTGTAGATTTTTTGATGATGGCCATTCTGACCAGTGTGAGGTGGAAATAACTGCCAAGGAGCAGAATAAAGAAAAAAGAATGAAAAGAAATGAGGACAGTCTCAGAGACCTCTGGGACAACATTAAACGCACCAACATTCGAATTATGTCATTATTTAAATTAATTGTCACAAGAACCAGAAGTATAATATGCATATCATTGTCTTCACTTTACAGGTGAGGAAATTGATGCTAAATATTACCTAGCTAATATGTGGCAAAGCAGAGATGTAAATATAAACTGATGATTATTCTTCTACCCTGTAAAATTATTTTACTTACACTGGTATGTAGCCTGTAACATGGATTTTGAAGTTAGGCAATTCCAGATTTACCTTTCTGCTCTACCACTTACTAGCTAGCTGCAGGATCTTGGTTAAATTGCTTACCTCAGCTTGCTTGTCTGTAAAATAAGAATAATAATACTCATCTTACAGCATTGTTGTAAAGCTTTCATGGGACGGTATAATTCAAATCCATGGAGACATCTTTTAACCTCTCTTTGCCTATACATGGAGATAATAATAATACCTGTCTCTCACGGTTATTGTGAGGATTAAATGAGGTAATCAATGTAAAGTACTAAACATACAATAAGTGTCTTGATAATTATTAGCTAACATCACCATCAACATCATCTTCATTACAGTGATCAATAAATTGTAATAAATGAATCTAGCCATTCTTAATGAAATAAATGGTTGAGTAAGTTATTGTTTGGTAGCAGGGCACTGATGGGGTACCTGACTAGGATTAAGAAGCTTATATTTCTTTCTTCTCTTATGCTAGAAAAAAATAGATATTTATGTGCCATTACAAAAGGCAGGATTATATTTTAAATAAGATAACACCGGTTGGAATGCTCTTTCCTGTATATGAATGTCTCACCATCATTTGTATACGGAGAACTAACTGAACAGCTGAACTGAGGATCTCAGAGGCAACCGTCCCTTGGAAGCATAAAGAGCTGAGCTGAAGAGTTCGACATTTGTTAAGTGTGGGAATGTCAGAACCTTCTCCTTTTCATCCCATGCTGATCAAACTACCAACCCTGCTCTGATTTCCTCCACCTCTCCTTCCTCTTTGCCTTCTCTTATATCAAGCACAGATACTTCTCTCTTTCCTACTTCAGAGATTTCTTCACTCCCTCTCTGGTACTTTGCATTACAGTTTACCTTATGAGTAGTAGCCTCCTGTGTGGCATGATTCCTGGAATGGCAGAAATGCTTCCTGCTCCCAAATGCTTCCCTGATCAACCATGGAGCCATGTATTCCAGGGTTAGAGCTCTGTTCCCTTTTCTGACCAAACTGGGGACTGTTTAAAAGTTCCAAAAGATGTGATTCATTAGGTCTTATTAGAAACCTAGAGCAGTGCTTCAGAAATTGATAGGGCTTCCTCAGCAGTCCTCAGATGTAGCAGGGGAGAATGGATTTGAAAGTGTAGGTAACTCTGGGCTTTCCCTTGCGCTGCCTAAATCAGAATGTAACATTTCTATCCACTGGGTATCCCTATAAAATTTTGTCAAAAAAATACTCTTCCACCTAGATGTACACTATCAGATACATTCTTAGGCTGAGCCTGTCAGAAGTTGAGACCGGTCCTTTTGTTTTCAGGGCCCTATTACATTAAAAAATGAAAAAACTGCTCAAGATATGGTTCAATTTTTATTAAATGTTTAATTTGTCAATGTGACTCTATATATACTGTCATTTGGAGAGAACCTCAAAATGCTAAGTTTGAAGACCATTGTGAATGTCTCACTTTGATAGGTCCTCATCCTAAGTAAGATTTGATGCTGTGAGTTTGGAGCTTATAAAGTGACTGCAAGTTTTAAGATGGGATGAGGAAAGGAAAGAAGAGTCCTGAGGTATCTAAGACAAATCACCACTTCTAACTATGATTGTATCTGGTTGACCCTGCTTGAGGTTGCTCTCCAAACCAGGACAAACTTCTCCTGTATTTCCAGATTGTTTTTGAAAAAGCCCTAGATAATCTAACCCTTATTACTGCCCCATCCTGTCTCATCAGGCCTATTAAAACAATTCTTCTCGATACATTGTGGTAGATTAGAGTATTCCCAACTATTCTCTCCCTCCCTGTGATAAAATTATTCACCCACACCTTTTTCTGTGCCTTCCAGTGGGTTGAATATGCATCCTCCTCCATTGACTTTGAGCTTGGCCATGTGACTTGCTTTGACCAATAGAAAGTAGGTAGAAATATCAGTGTGTGCGTTCTGAACAGAGGCTTTAGAGGCATCACAAGTTTCTGCTCACCCTCTTCCATAACCTTCCCCCCATGAGAATAACACTTCCTAGGTGATAGCTACTCTTTTAGCCAGGGTTCTAGGATGAGAAAATGCATGAAGCTAAGCCCAGCCAAGCCTGCCTGTAGCCCATATGTGATGAGAGCAAGAAATAAATCTTTGTGAGTTGCTGAGATAGTTTGTTATTGCAGCAAAGCTGACTAATATGTGCATTTTCTGCTATAAGTGTTTCTGAGCCAACTCTCGTTTCTCTGTCAGACTTGGAATATCTTTCCACTCTTGTATATTCATTCAAGGTTCTCTTTAAAATTTAAGCCTCTCACAAATAACAGGAAAGGAGGAAACTGTCCATAAGTTTTCTACTATTATTCAAGCCAACAATTGCCCATCCACCTCCAAACTCCCATTGATGACATCACATAGTAGAAACACACTATTGGGACTTCCCTGGTGGTGCAGTGGTTAAGATTCTGTGCTCCCACTGCAGGGGGCCCAGGTTCAATCCCTGGCCAAGGAGCTAGATCCCACATGCATGCCACAACTAAGAGTTCACATGTTACAACTGGGGAGCCCGCCTGCGGCAACTAAGACCCGGCACAACCAAATAAATAGATACTAAAAAAAAAAAAAAGAAACACTATTTAATAACGGCCATATTCAATATCTGTACAAATGACCTTTCATGTCTTTCTGGATCTATACTAATCTATTTCCATTTGCAATCCTGTGGGCTATGAGATGATATATTTTTGTAATGAATTGATGTCAAAACTTGTGTATGGATGGTAAATACATTACTTATTCGGAAGTGAATTTACCTCACCAACTGTTGCCACTCATTTCTTTCTTCTACCAAAAAATATCTGGCACTCTTTGTGGAGCATACTGGATTCCAATTATATGTCAGAAATTTTGTCTTGTGTTCTGAGATAATACCATTGATAATGAGGCTTCCAAATTCTCAGTTGAATGGAATGAGTTCCAACAAATTGGATTAGCAAACAGAATAGTTAAGATTTTTTTTTTAAAGTTCAGCTCATCTTGTGTTCCCAGAGGCTCAAGAAACTGACAATTTAAAAAAAAAAAAAACAACTAATCTTCCAGTGAGGTTAGTATTCCTAATCAAAACATTCTTTTAGAGATTGGGTCAAATTTTGAAGGATCAATCAGCCAAAAAGTGACTGAATAGAGACAACAGGTTTAAAATAGAGGTTTGTGTGATTAGGTGGTTGACAGATTTTTAAACATGTATACTTAGTTCACAGCAGAAATTATCTACAAATTCAGCCCTAGAATTTTCCTCTCTATATATCTTTTCTTGTCTTTTTCCTTTCCTTCCTTTTTTATTTTTGAGCAAATATATTTAAGTTCTCTCCAGCTTCTGAGTCCAGTAAATAAACCCTGTTCCCATCTGGAATGCATTCAGATCTACATCATTCTTTGCTGAGAATCATTTTAGACATTTTAGATATGTTATCTGCATGGTGTTTGAATAAAATCCAGCCCAGGATAAGCATATCCCTTTATATTATTTCCAAGTCTCACTTGATGTACAGGACTGTGATGTTATCATCTCTGGTGGATCTCCTAACTTTCCCTCACAAGAGAACTTTGTGACCAGGAAGTCTTCATTGACCTTAGAAAAGCTTTTTCAGCTATTATTTTTTAAACCATCTCTAACCATGAATGATAGGAACTTCATGTAAATTCATCTAAGTTGGGATGACCAACAGTGATAATTATAGAGTATGCTTATTATTTTAATTTAGAAAATATGCTCCAGGTTAACCAACAAACAGCCCCCCACCCCCACAAAATACAAAGGTGCCTGTTTAAACAATGTCATTAGAAAAACTTTATTGAATTCTTATGTATATGCAACACCACTGCTAGTGAATGTCTCCATTAATGAAACAGAAAGCCATCTAGACAGAAGCCCTTCCATTGCACCGTAAAGGGCATCCTTTGT